GAGATGTGTTTTTCCCAATAAAGTTGCAGTCATTACAACACACTGCCCTTCCCTGCTGGCAGCATGATTGTGGAAACAATTAAGATGCAATGCACCTCAGTGACAGTGGATCCTGGTGCTGTGGTAGAACTCCGAGCGGCTGCAAGCGTAAAGCACAAAGTTTCTCCTCAGCAAAGGGCATTGTGACCCTGTGCTAAATCTGTATCCATTTCTTTCCCCAACTCTGAGCTCTGAAGGCTCAATTTAGCATCCAAAAAATTGAGTCGTGTTCTTTCCCTTTTGTACCTCATTACCAACAATAAAGAGTTGAAGGACGGGAGTGTGGCTGGCAATTTTGCCGTGATGGATGGCAGAGCAGGATGCCGACTTGCTTTTTGTCACTCAGAACCTCCAAGTTATTGATAGGAATAGATATTTTTCAAACACACAAATGGTACAGTCACCGCCTATGCACAGTAAACCAAGAACACCGATCCCTTTGACATCCAGGGGTGCTGCAGCAGCCCCCAGGTGTCCAGCAGCGTAAATCACAAGGGGTGGCCCTTCCTCAGGGGAGAACAGAAAACCGCCTTTCGGTGTGATTGACTGCTGTCTCCCCGTGCGTGAGCGATGCAGCATTAACAACAGTGTTTTCATGAATTTGGGAAGCAACAAGAGGGAATCTTCTAAACGCTAGCAAGGGCATTTTTACATTTTATATTCGCCATGGAAGCCTCTTGTGCTTTTCCTTAAGGCAAATCTGAACCCATTACTAGCTTTCTATTGTAGGAGCTGAGACTCCAGGAAGGGCAGGAGGATCTCCACAGACGAGGAATCAGAAACTGGTAGCCTGTACCTGTTCCCTATGCAGCCAGAGACAGTTCTGTTTCCCCATGCACAATGTTTAAAATGATTTGAGCTGGTTGCCAAACAGAAGCCAAAGATTTTCATACAAAAACAAATCTGAATGTTGGCTCTTTTAAAAAGAAGTCTGAAATTTGGAAACACTGGGCCTGGTTTTCCACACGACACCTAGAGTTGGGTAGTCCATTCCAGAGAAGCTTCCAGGAAGGGTGTGCCTTCACTTTGTGGGGATTAGAGAAAGGCACTGTCTCTTGGCTGAGGGGCTCTGACTTGCCCACCTGAAAAGATACAGCCCACCTGCATGACTGGCCTCCCCAGTACCACCTTGAGTCTCTCTGCTCATGATGAGCCTTTAGGCATTTAGTTTGTAATCACTGCCAAAGCTTTTGGAGGCCATAGTTGCCTGGAGCACAGCTCTTGATGAATGAGGACTGGCCTGGAGGGTTTTCTTTGATTTCTTGCCCACAGAGATGGAGACAGGAGTACTTGTTTGACCCCGCTCCTCTTTTTCCTGGGAAGGAAGTCTCCCAGTGCTGCAGGAATTATATCCAGAGCTGTCTCATCCCTGCAGCGCAGCTTACCTCCCTAACCACCATACTCCCCTGCTCCCACCCAGGCAGGCTTGTCACATCCTGTTGTCATCAGCCTGTGTGAGGACTTAGTTGAGCAGAATGTAGCAATTTCTCTAGGTGACACTGGGCTGTGACTCCTCTAACACAACGAGTTGGAGGCAGACCTCACAAGCCATCTTGGAAGGAGCTGATTCCAGTATCCATGTCTGATGACAGCTTGCTCTTATTAAACCCTGTGCCCAAGTGAACCCTGTAGCCCCTGATAATGGATGATACCAAGGAGCCCAGGAGTCGCTCTGTGGCCTTAGCAGACCTGAAAAATAGTTTCTCTGCAACTTGTCAAGAACCCCAAGCTGTTTCTTTTAAGCGTCAGAATGGAAGCCATCAAAAATAATTCACGTAGCGCAGCTGCATGTGATACTGTATGTATAAGAGGAGATAAAATAAAGTTAATATTGCACCATCTGAGAGCTTATCAAGCAAGTCATGACCCAGGATAGTCACGTGGCAATGAGGAGTCTGCTTTGGCAAATAGTTTTCAAATTGGTGTTGAACCATAGCGCTGCCACTTTCTAGTTATGTGGACATGGGCCAGTCACTTACCTCCATGACCTTCACAGGAAAAATGCAATCGTCCTTCTGTATTTGTGGATCTGCATCTGTGGATCTAACCAACTATGGATTGAAAGGATCTGGAAAAGCCATTCTGTCTGATTAAACTTGTAGAGACCTCGTTTCTTGTCATCGTGCCCTAAGTAGTACAGTAAAACGTCTAGCTACACGGTGTACACAGCGCATGAGGCATTTAAGTAATCTGAAGAAGATTCAAAGTGCACAGGAGGAGGCGTGTGAGTATGTCAGTAGTGCACCCTAAGGTGGCTCCTCAACAGCAGTGTGTGTTTAAATAAAATTTATTGCGATAAAGACGCATTGTCCTTAGTCCCCCCAATCCTTCTCCCTGCTTTGAATATGCTTAGTCCATCATTCTTGCTATTTAATTTCTGATGCTCTTCTGGATTCCTGTCTTGTGTCGTTAAAGTTTTATCAAAAATGCGGTGAATACATCTGCCAAGTGTCAGACATCACAATGGCAGGGTCCTCAAATACGGCCCTGGGCCCTGAAACATGACAGCGGGTCCCCATTCATCTTAGTCCTCAGATCGGGCACTGTGTGACTTCTGCTTTTACCAAGGTCAAAGTGGCCAGGAAAGGTAAATGTGCTGAGCTGAATCCGGACCTCCCCAAGGCAGCCACCACAGTAAAACTGATGGCGTCATAAAGCAGGGCTTCCAGCACTACTGCAGAAAGTGAGGGGAACTGGGGGATCCGTGTGCTCAAAGCAGGAGTATTCTGAGGCAAGTGAATGGGGTGCCTTTTCTTGATGTGAGTTGGTCGAACCATCTCCCAATCAATACCCAGAGGTAAGACTTTATTTAAATTACAACATAAGTAGAACTAAGAGTGGCTGAGGTCTCCAGAGTTCTACTCTTCCTATGTCCTACTGGTTGGGGGAAATGAACTTCAAGTTTCAGGTCCTTACTTTACTAAAGTAATTTCTTACTTTACAAATAGTAATTTCCTAATAGAATTCTGTATGATGAAATGAGATAATGCCTGAGGCATGCACACAACATTGCTGGCTACTGGAATTCTTAGCCTGCCACAAAAGATCCAGTTCAACATATTGGTTCCTTTGTGTTCCACTTGTATCTTACTGCTTTCAGCAGTACAAATTCGAGCAAATATGAGGGACCAAAGGTTGCTGTGCTACATAAATATTTAACACGTTGATTTTTACTGGGGAAAGCATATAAATAGATGAACATCAAGCTGTTTTGCTAATGGCATGGCTGCTTAATTGAGGCATTTCTTATGGAGAGTTAAAAAATGATTTTACAGTTCTCATTGCTATAAGATAAAGCAATGGTTAAAATAAAAATAGTCTCTGCAATAGCATGCTCCTGTCCGCTCCCTTTAGGACTGAGTTCCTGGCTGCAGAGGACTTTGTGTAGACACTGAGATCAAGCAGAGTACAAAGGTCACAATGCCAATTTCTTCTGCAACTTGTTTTGCGGTGTCAGAGTCTTAGTATTTAGGGAAAGACGGGTGGTTGCTATGGAACTCTTAATAATGATTGCTGCCTGTACCTCCATTCTTCATACTCCCAATCTCCAATAAAAAAATCCCTTAGAACTGCGCTGTAGGGCAGTAAACAAACTTTCGAGCAGGAATTAACGAGGCCCAGGCATTAGTGTCTTAATGTCGGAAATAACTTTCCTTATAACCTCCGCTTACACTGGCCGTGCGGCTGAGTGGGAGCAACTTCTGGGGGAGCCCTACGAGGTTCCAACTTTGCTCTTTAGATGGGCGCTGCTAAAAGCAGCAGCATTTGGGGACTTTCATCATAAAATAAATATCAAAAACTTCTTGATTTGTGCAGAACTGGGTTTAGCACGGGTCTTTTTATTTTCGTGTATGAAAAGAGCTAGTAATTCAGCCGTATGGATTCCTAAGTGGAGAGAAGAAGCTATTCTTGATGAAATATTTATCTGTGTATTTTAAAAAATAAACTTTGTAGAAAAACGGACATTTTTACCATATTTCTGTGAGAGCCGTGCACTACGTAATAAATGTTTCTTACTCCTGAATTATTTTTCCGAGATACAGATCACAGTCCCCATTAATGTATAACTGATCTTTGGGGAAAAACTAATTGAGTTCTTGAGCTTCAGGCACATAAAGTTAGGAGTGGGTTATTGGATGGGGGGAAGAAGACGTCTAATTTGGGGAGTTTGCGCCCTCACCAGTATGCAAATAACTGCACAATAACAGAATAAACAGCTTCCGTCTTCCCCACCACTGCTTTCTCTGGGCCCTCAAGTATCTGTTTCTCAACAATTATCTGGCTTAATTCTCTGTTTTATAGCTTAGGATTTTAATGCTTCAAATGTGGAACACAGAATAAAATGTGATTGTCAGTCAAATTTAGAACGATGCCAGAGTGTCATTTTCCACTGGCAAGCAACTCGTTCATAAGAACAAATAGAAAAAGGATTTTTGAAAGGGAAGGTAACCATTGCATTAGCTCTGGATCCCCCCAGCTCGACAGTGACAGGAAGAGAAAACAACTCTGCCACTCTGGAAGGGTTAAAAGGGCAGGCATGCCTCGGGCCCTGTGCGAAATTAAGTCTTCTACCCAGTCTATGGCATGGGAGAAGACAAAGGCTGATCTGAATGAATAAACTGAACGTATAGTTCAGTCCACTTATTTTTTGCAGGACCATTTAAGGTACTAGAAGGTCTGGTTCCTTAAAATTCCGTTCAATAAAAATGCAGATGGAACTAGCAGATTCATCCAGCTACAGCAATAAATTCAGATGATCTCCAGAACTGGCCAAGTGATGTCAAGAAAGTTAAACTTGAAGAATGAGAGTTGGAGTTCTAAATGAGATCAGGGGAAAAAAAGCAGAGTTAATAGGAGAAATCAAGACTGAAGCAATCAACATTACTGCTGCATTTGGAAGGGAGTTTAAAAATCAATTCTTCCTGCTTGTAAAATTGTTCTGCCAGAAACTGGTGTTGTTGTAGACTTTTAAAAATTTTTTAGTTTATTTAATCTTCTTTTACACAGTCATTGTTAATGCAACAATCCAATATTTGTGGTAACATTAGTGCAAAGTAAGAACACAGCTGAATAGTTTATATCATCTATACACCTTGTCAATCCTATTCTTTTGACTCAAACCAAGCATAGTTGGTTAATGTTGCCTTGGTAACCTCTGCTCATATCTGGACTCACAGTGGTACCTACTACAGGTAGAGAATTTGCTTTCTGGCTCTACTATCTTTAAAGCACAAATTCACCAAATATTAGCATCTTGTCATTAAAGGTAGATAAAGCAATATTTAGTATAATGTCAGGCAGCAGCACATATGACCTTGCCTGAAGGAATGTGCACACACGCACAAAGCACTAGTATGCATTCAGAAGTTAGGAAACATGTTAATATTCAGTGAAATTAACGTATAAATAAAATATGATCTGGAATAAAATTACCATTAAGTGCAGAAAAGAAAAAAAAGTAGCTTCCTTCTCTTCCCAAACTTTGGTGTTTCAACATCTTATAAACCTACCTTATTCGGAGAATAAAGGTTATTGCAAATTTGAGAGAAATTAAAGGCTAGTACAATCCAGTGTGCTACAAGAAACATACATGTCAATTAGTTTTTGAAGATTTATATTCATTCCAGTGTTAGACAAATCTTCTGAAATTCTTCGGAGAAATATTTGTGGTGATTTTTATTTATGAAGGGGAAAACCCCCAGAGTTTTAGCACTATTAAATGTTATATTATTTAAAAATGTTAGAAAATAAAAGTACTGTGAGGACAGTACATGTTATTCCAGGATCTATGAACTCCTTTACTATTGTTATTTAAAGAGTAAAATAACTAAGCTTAACACTGCAAATATTTCCCTGTTAAGCTCATGCTTATTTCTCTTTCCCTTCAGTGTCTTTGGCATTCTTGCTTCCCATTTCTCTTATTTTCCAACTTTTTCTTCTTGGTTTTTCTTTCTTAAACCTGATCTGATTCCCTATCCTAGATCACTGGTTGGACAGGGCATCTTTCAACTTTTCCTTCATTGGCAGTAAAGCAGTGGGCTTCTAGTAACTGAATTATCTGCTGAACATTCCCTTCTACCTGTTGTAAGTGTTTCCTTCTTAAAACTATATAATTATGTTTTTAGCTTGCAAGTAGGTATAACGTGTATACACGTGTAGAAATCTCTCATTAGGTTCACAGAGAGACACAGAAATTCGCTGTATCCTTCATACACAATCAACGAGCTGATGGAATGAACAGGAGGAAACGTAACATTTCATCCCTGGTATCTTGGTAACTGAAGTGTCCCCCGACCCAGCCCAAAGGATCCCGCTTTAATTGTTCCATTCCTTTTTTCTGGGCAGTCTTGGAGGAATTATACAGAAAGGACCCTGAGCACGCAGTGAAACGCGAGCTCATGGCAGAGTGCTTGGTATGACTCATGCGTGGTGTGGCTAAGGTGCGGCCAGAGCTCGTGCCTGGCGAGGACAGTGTGGCAGTGTTGGGGACAGAAGGCAGGTGTGGGGTCTGGCTGTGCTCAGGCACTCTGGTCCACCTGCAGCATGGCCGCCCGCTCTGTCGCCTCTGGAGCCAGCATGCAGCCATCCTCCTCCTGGTGCTTCTTCTGGGCTTGTTCCAGGGCCGTTGGTTCTTCTTCCTCACCTTCCACGATGGTCAGGTCCACATTGCTGTCCATCCCTGAGCTGCTCCTTCTTGGGGCCACCTTCTCCGCCTCCCCCTCATCCAGGGCACTGGGCAGCGATGCTGCAGAATGGCCCTCTGCCAGGGAGCCCTCCTCCTGGTCATTGGATGCCATCTCTTCTGACTTGGCCTCGTTCTCCGCCAGGCTTTCCCCCTCTCGCACTTTCTTTCGCCCAAAAGTGAGGGGAGAAACCTTGAAGGGAGAACTTTTGCCCCCTGAGGATGTCTTCTGGTGGTTAGAAGTGAGGGATTTCTTAATTTTCTGTCTCCTTTCCACGGAGACGATCTTTGTGCCCAGTTCGGTCATCTTCTTTTCGATGTTCTGGCGGGAAAAGGCTTTCTTGAGGCTGCCCACTTTCCGGAGACTGGATCTCTTGAGTTTCTCTGCCCTGCTCTCCTCTGTCTTTTCCTCAGCACTGTCCTCCAGGGCCTCCTCATCGCGGGGTGGCTCGTCCTCCGAGGACAGGTCCACCTCGTGCAGTGTGTCCTCCAGTGCCTGGTTCTCGCCCTCCAGCTCGCCCTTCCCTTCCACGGCACTGGAGGCCGGCGCCTTCGCGAACACGCTGCCAGGGATCTCGTGTTCCTCCTGCAAAGATGACAGGTCAGTTTCAGGTTAATGGTGTGTGTCACAAACAGGCCGGAGCCACTGTCATGTGTGAATAGGCTCTGAGAATTGGAAGTGGCAGACTCGAAGTTTGCAGCTTTGGTTCCCTAGAGGGGGCAGTATCCATTCCACATCGGGCAAATCATTTTCCTCCAGGCTGAACCAAGGCCAGCACTGGCCTAGCAGGACTATCAAGAGAACAGCTGGCCAAGGTCCTATCAGTGACAGGCAGGGGGAAGTGAACTGTGACTCAGACAGACCAGGAAGCCACTTCGATAAAGGAGCTAAAGCAAATTACTGTGCAGTGAGCCCAGGGGCCCACTCTTCCGTAGCTCCCCTCTAGGTCAGCAGTCTCAGATCCTGCCCCAGTCTCCCTGCAAGATGGCCTGCAGGTCAAGATGCAAGACAAAGATGGGAGCAGGGCAGAAACATGAGAAGTCTTCAAGGGGAGCCAACAGACAGCCTTGGTGAGGTTCCTTCTCCAAGTAGAGATCGAGAGAAGGTTTGGTCACTGTGAACATGGGCTTGGAGGCAGCACTTGGCTTGCTGATGACATTCAGAATGACAGGAGAGAAGGGCTTGCCTTCCGGGAGCTATGCACTAAGCCTTGACATTTAGGATATCCTCTGTGGGAGGGAACAAGGGGGCCGGAGAGCAGGGTCCCTTGTGGAGCTGTGAGGAAAGATCCTAACAGGCGCAGCACAGGAAGCCCCTGTTGTTGCAGGAGGTTCTCCAGGGATGCAGGCTTTGGCCCCCCCTCATGCAGAGTGAGGTGCTCAGGAAGCTACCCTTCCTCTTGCCTGCACCCTGGACTCTCCACCCCCAGTGCTCACACAGGCAACGGTGTCCTGGGGCAGGGACTCAGGGTGCAGAGCCTGAGAGATGCCTCCAGACCTCAAAAGGGATGGACGGCCCTGCAGCACAGCCTACTGCGCAGATCTGAATCCTGACAGCCTTGGGGCCGCAAAGCATACGGGCAAGCCCATCCCACAGTGTCCCTGGGAGATGCAGCATGGGACCGGATGTGCGGCAGGATATGTGGCAGGATGCCTGAGCCTGAAGGGCTGGGTGGCTTCAGCAAGCAGCTTGGCCTCCTTCTTCCAGATCTGACCTGGAGGGTTTGACCTGAATCAGACGGCGTCAAAGAGGCTCTGCTCTGTAGCACCGGGCCACCCCACTGGAACCAGGGCCTGAAGGTGACCTGGGCTGCCCAGTGCACTTTCAGTTTGAAAAGTAACCAGACTTAGTGTACTGAAAAGTCCACATGAGCTCTAAACTTCATGCAAAACCCACATGAATGGTGAACACTTTCTTTCTCATGGTGCAAGTTTGATTGACTGATGAAAAGTCAGTAAAACTGGGTTCTTATTTTTAAAAATGCCACAAGAGTGTGATTGTATTTTTAATTTCTTGACTCAAAGTTTAAATGAACAAAATCCTCCTTCCCCACCAAAGCTGGGCCTGTAGAGTTCGGAAGGAAGACAGTCTTTGCCTCCCCTCACCTACACTCCTGTGGAATCCTTTCCAGGAGTGGTCAGACAGAAAGGAGAAAACCTCAAGCAGAAGTGAAAGACAGAAAGTCGGGCCCAGTGAACCCCTACGGGAGTGAAGCTATTACGTACTGTTTCCTAAGGTCTCTGCTCAGCAGCCCACCCTGAATGCCACGGAGAGAGTTAGGAACCCAGGATAAAGGACAGAGGAGAACAGCAGGGGAGCGCGGGGGTCCTTTGTGAATGGGACTTGTAGAGAGCGCCTTCTCCTGCTCTGGGCTGAGGCTGCTGCTGTCTCACCAGAATGGAGCCCTAGGAGGGAGGGAGGGAGGGAGGGAGCCATTGTCTCTGTTCTGCTCCGAGTCTTCACAGCTGTAGCTCTCCAGCCCCCTGTGAAAGAAGTACCTGTTGGGCAGGGTGGATGCCCGAGATGCCCAGAGGTGGCAGGAATGGAGGCTGCTCCTTGACAGGCAGGCTTGAGGCTACAAAGGGTGGGCTGAGTTTTGTATGTAGAAGTTTCTTGAATGCTGGTGCCCTGGGAAATCAGGAGAACTCAAGGCCCAAGAGGATAGAGATTGCTAGAGGAAGAATTTTTTCCTCCATAGATGAGTATCCCTGAAGAGGGACCGTCCGCAGTGGCTGCACTCTGAGGCTTAATCTGAGCAGCTTTCTTCTGGGGCTTGACAACCCTCAGGAAGGGTTGACAGATGTTGCAGGAAAAGAAGAAGCCAAAAGTTCAATGAAATGTTACTGAGAGTCTGCAGCGAGGAAAGCCAGAAATCGAGGCAGAAAACTGTAAAAATAGGGCTTGGTGCACAGAGAACAGGTACGGAGTAATCAAATGTAAAAAAGTAATCTGTAATTTCCCTTTCTTCAACCTTCACAGAAGCTAGGCCTATCAACTGTGCTTCCGAAAGGATTAACCTGAGGCTCCTTCCCAACGTACAGTTGCTGCAGAAGCTTAGATTGCTTGCATCTCTCTCACCACCAAACTTCGCGTACTGAAAAGTCCATGCAGGATCTAAACTTCATGCAAAGTTCAGGTCAGTGTCCCACAGAGGACAGTGACCAGAGGTGACCTGTGGTAGGTATGTCCCAGCAAGGGCAGGGAGCTGCTGAAGGAAGGTGGGGAACTCAGAAGAATGCTCTTGAAAAATGCCAGAGAAATTTATACGAGCGCCCTGGACGCCAACCCTGGAAACAAGCCCAGTGGGAACACAGACAGTCCTGACCGGGCTGGCTGTATGTGCAACTGGAAACAGGCGCAACCTGTCCTCCTGGCTCACTGCTGTACTTCCTCTGCCACTTTAATTACCCAAGCAGCGTTTCATGCCCTGTCTCCTGGACAGTGCTGATGGCTTCTTATGGCATCCACTCTGAAGGCAAGGCCTTGCCTTTCACAGAGCAGTGTGTGGCTGTCTAAGCACACGGAGCCTTTACCTTTCCACAGTGTTTGTTTAGAAACAGAAAAATAAGATGCTGCTCAAGATCTGTTTTCTTTCGAAAGACCGAGGCATGGTGCTTTGAGGCAGACCACTGTGAAGTGGTTCTGAGCAGGATTTAATAGTAACCAATTGACTTCCATGTTTACCTGTGAGTCTGTCCCAGGCCTAGGCCCCTGGCTGGACAGGGACAGAGGACTCATAGTAAGTGAACCTCTGTGAGTCCCTGTGATGGCCTGTGGGGTTGGTATGCCTCAAAGGACAAGATAAGGCCACAGCTGAGGACATTTGGCTCCAGCCCCAATTAACTAAAAGGAGGCTGCAGCTGCAGGCTCCACACTCCTCCAATAAATGCCAACCTAAGGATAAAGTGGTTCTCCTGACTGACATAACATACTGCATGGAAAATACCTCTCAAAGCCCTGCTAGATTCCCGAGTTGTCTTCACTAACTTCCTGTTACAAATTAGTTAGGTTAGATATACAGCCACTTTCTCTTAGAAGAAAGATTTGTACTAATAGTTTTTGGACAAGATATCATGTCTGCATCTTATACTATGAATAACTACTATGAAGATAACAATATGCAATGTATTAAATATTATAACTGTCCTACTGACCTGTTTTGAAACTGTCTCCTTGCTATTTCTTTCTCAATAAAATTAATTTTTTAAAAAGAACCAAATAAATATAGCACTGCCCAGAGAAGTTCTTTGTCAGAACCCAGAGGATCATGAATTCTTTGAGAGGGTTTGGATCCTCCTGAAATCCCCAAATCTGGCTACTTTTCTCATTTTCTTTAGCCCTCTCCATCCACTCATTTGGGAGACTGTGGGCCAGCTCAGCCCACCATAACTAAGGGAAACTATTAACATGACCATATGTTTGAGGATGAAGACATATTATAATGGTAAAAATTCAAGTTAAACCTCAGATAATGCATCCTCTGGACCTACCCTCCTCTCCCCAAAGGGCCAAGTCGCTCCTGAATGCCTGCTTTTGTATGAGTCTCTCTCTCTCTCTCTCTCTCTCTCTCTCTCTCTCTCTCTCTCTCTCTCTCACACACACACACACACACACACACACACACACACACACCTTGATATTTTGCACCCCCTGAGGGGGTGACACTTCTGCTCTTCAGCATCCTGCTGTCCTGCCCTTGATCTGCTCAGTCTCACAGATTCTGAGACTGGCAGCCCTCTCAGGGGAAGGAGCAAGCACACATCCCTACCTCCACCACTGCCTGCACTGCCCCGTGCCCATTTGTCTACTAGGGTTTGTGGCTCCTTAAAATGGTATAGGAGTCCCAGCGGGTTGCACCTTTTCTTCAGGCAGTTGTCTCTGTTTTCAAAAAGTCCTCAGCCTCCACTGATACCAATGTTTCCAGTTCTGACCTTTCACAAAGAGCCTTGGGAGGCTTTCAAAGGAGGAAGAAGTAATCATCACACTCTAAACATATATGATGGATATACTTGCAGCATAAAAGAGAGAAGGCGTGGAAAGAACTCTGGGGAAGTAGCTTTCCCCTGCATCTCAGCTTGTTTGCTATTTATTTTGATTCTTGTGAACTCACTGTCCCAGGCGTGCAGAGAAATAGCAAAGCACAGAAACTTGCCACTGTGCTGGGCCCTGCTTAAGGAAGCAAATCTCTGCACCAATGTAGCAACGCACACTTTTTAAAAAAAGACTCCATGACTAGTGTTAGAAAAGTAAATCAACTTAAGTCACGGGCTTGAATAAGGAGAGAGAAGCCAGCAGTTTGTTTTCCTGCCACTAACTTATCATCGTTGTTGTTAGACAGAAGTATTGGAGGGCTGAGAGGCCCCCTGGAGGGGTAGGAAAGTCATAAGTGGGTATCTTCTGCAGTGAGCTCTCAGTGCTGCCTACTGACGTGGAGCTCCCGCGCCCGCCCGGCACGGGGAGGGAGCTATAGGTCTCTTTCTCACATTGATGGCTTGCTCCAGTTTGTGTTCCCGAGGTCTACACTGCCAAGTGCATAAGGCCATTGACTCGCCCTGCACCCCCAGGGCAGCTGCGGAACCAGCATC